GGGCGCCGTGAAGGGCGGCTCGGCTGAAGTGGGCGGTGTAGGAGAGCTGACAGGAAAGCGTCGAGGTGAGGCGAGAGGTCGCCGGTCTTCCAAGCTGAATTTAATTCCGTGTTTCCTTACAAGCGAGAAAGGCAGCTCGTGGCGGCGGGACAACTTCTGATACCTCTGGGAGTGAGTCCTGCCCGGGTGTGTCCGAGGGTAGCTCTAAGTTTGGGATCCATCCGGGTCGGAAGATAACAGGTGCGTGGTGTTGGGAGCATCCCTGAGCCTGCTGCTGCCTCTGGGAGAAACGAAATCAGGAGCAATGTGTGAATGTTTGCGCTGTGGTGTGAAGAGCCCAGTAACCTCTTGTATCTAGAAGCAATTCCCTGTGATATTGGGTGCTGTACATGCTAGGCGCTATATTTGTAAGGTTAACTAAATGGCAGCTGTGATTTTGGAAAAGATGTGTCTTCTTCAATGCATAAAAAGAATGGATGTAGGTAGTGTGATAGCTGCTGTTCACCAGCCATATAAACTAACAGATATTTGTTTATTTTTTGTAGGTGTGTTGGTCTTGATTTTATGTGCTGAAAGCTGGTCCTTCCTTCTCCAAGATGGCATTTGTTTCAGCACAAGGGCCTACAGTGGTGGACCAAACCACTTTGATGAAAAAATACCTTCAGTTTGTGGCTGCTCTTACAGATGTCAATACACGTAAGATACTTCTTTTCTGTTGAAAGATATAATTCTTCAGTAGTTTGTTTCAGAAACATTGCAGTATTGTTTAGACAGTTGGTAAATGCATATTGAATTCACTTTGAATTTTGTTGAAGTTTTGATTTTTGAAGAAGCAAAGTGATGAGTAATACTCGCATGAGCCGAAGTGAGCGAGCTGTGTGCGTGTGAAGTTGTGTGTTGGTTGGTTGTGAGAATTGTGTGCCTTATAATTGGGCTGTGATAGCTAAACTGATAAGATCTGATTGCTTCTTTGATCAGTAGGCCTGATGTTTTCCTTCATGATGTAGTTTTATGTTTCATTTTTCTGCTTGAATTTCCTTTTTCAGCTGATGAAACCAAATTGAAAATGATGCAAGAAGTCAGCGAGAATTTTGAGGTAAATAAAAAAACCCCAAACAACAAAACCCCACTGAACCCCCTCAACCTGCTGAAAAGGCAGTCTTTCTTGTGCTTAATGTATGTTGGTTTGATTTCTGATGTTATGTGGCTAAAATATTAATTTTAGTTTCTTGTGAGTTATGGTTTATATTGTTATAAGTAATTGATTTTAGGTTTGCATTTAGGAATTAGTGAGGTTATTGAAGAATTACAACATTTGGACTTACAGAGCTCTTTCATTCTCTAATCTTTATTCAGTAAGCATTTAAATAAAGGTGAAGTAGTAGATTTTTCTTCAGTTTTATTGAATGGTATGAAATGTCTGTATTTAAAGCTTTCTTTTATATAGTTCAAATGTGTATTGTGCCCTCGTGAAGCAGAGGCCCCTCTGAGTAGTTCCTTAGTATAGAAGTGAGGAGGGAGTTGTCAGATGCAGAATCTGACATCAGGAGTGGAGATGGCTCCAGTGACATTTTTTGCATAGTGATGGACCATCGAGTTTAAACGAGCAGCAGAAAATGAGACACAAGTTAAACCAACCCTGTGTTAGCAGAAATTATACTTTATTGAATACTTAGTTAGTGTGTCTGTTTGAAACTACAGAGGACTTGTTATTTTGTAGAACAAGTTCAAGATCTTAGAATCACTGTAATTCTCTCGGTATCTAGGTTTTTAGTCAAGTTGTGATCAAAAAAAAAGTGCTACTGCTATAACACGTTCTGTCCTTACCTACTTATTTGAAGTAATTTTGCTTAGTCCATGATAGGGAAACATAAATACACATTCTAGTCCTGTTTAATGTCTTTGGATATTTTTAAGTAAACTTTATGTGACGTTGCATCTAGCAGGTGCTTGATATAGAAAGCTCTGCTAATTTTAGTTGTTTCTGAGTTATTGGTGGAATTTCCTGTCTGGAGAATTTTTTTTGTTTAGTTCAGGTTAACATAGTGGAATAATAAATTTAGAGCTGGTGTAAGTGTATAAAAAAAAAAGAAGTTAAAAGGCTTAATCCTTGCTTTTAAGCAAAAAAGTAGATATCTGTGACAGTTCTGCATCTATGCATGCACAGGGTGCGCAGAACTTCACATTACCATAAATGACTAAGTAAAAATATGTTTGTGGAGTTTTTTATCTGTTTAAGCTGACCTGCCTTCTCTCAAATAATTTGTTATCTGAGTAAAAGAATAACTTTAACAGCTTAGTCTAGTGATCTGTTTAAGAATCTGAAAGCTTAGTTGATTTTCTTTGCTCTTGTCTTCTGTAGGGAAGAAGGTGTTCAATGTTTGTTTTGGTAACGTTCAAGATGGAGTAGCTTTATTCTCTTGAAACTTGCTTGGTTCTGTAGCGATTCCTACATAAAGAGATGATGAACTGATTTATGCTGAAGTACAGCTCTATTTGTAGGAAAATACTTGAGGGAGTAAGAGAAACCAGTAATATAGTTTTAGTTTCGTTTTTTCCTTTGGAGGTTGTGGGCAGTATTGTTGCATGTTGTTATGCTAGATGGTTTCTTTTCATCTTCTCTTTTCATAGTCACCATATTAACTTTTCTCTGTTGCCTACTTCAGCTTCCAATAGCTATAAAGTTCAGTAGGTTTTCTTTTTTTGCTTCTTTAAGTGAAAAATTATTGGTTTTTTTTACTTAATTAGTTGTCTGTTGAAAGTTAAAGCGTTCAATTCTGTTGGCTGCATTATTGATCGGGATGTCTCTTTAGGGGTTGTGGTGGGGTTGACCCTGGCTGGTTGCCAGGTGCTCACCAAAGCCGCCTTTTCGCTCCCCTCCTCTGCTGGACAGGGGAGAGAAAATACAACGAAAGGCTCGTGGTTGACCCATGACAAGGGGCCATGATAAGGATGGGGAGAGATCACTCAGCAATTACCATCACGGGCAAAACAGACTTGACTTGGGGAAATTAGTTTAATTTATTACCAATTAAATCAGTAGGATAATGAGAAATAAATTCAAATCTTAAAAATACCTTCACTCCCATCCCTCCAGTCTTCCCAGGCTTAACCAGCAGTGCAGGGGGACGGGGAATGGGGGTTGGGGTCAGTTCATCACACGTTGTCTCTGCCACTCCTTCCTCCTCAGGGGAGGACTCCTCGCACTCCTCCCCTGCTCCAGTGTGTGGTCCCTTCCATGGCAGACAGTCTTCCATGAACTTCTCCAATGTGAGTCCTTCCCACAGGCTGCAGTTCTTCATGAACTGCTCCAGCGTGGGTCCATCCTTCCCATGGGGTGCAGTTCTTCAGGAGCAGATG